TATAATATTATTACTTTCATTAATGTTGTAAGATACTGTCATTACCGTCTGTCCTGCATCTCTCTCTCTCTCTGTCTCTCTCTCTGTCTCATTGTGTCATACGGATTACTGTTAATTTATTATGTTGATCTGTTCTGTACGACATCTATTGCACGTCTGTCCGTCCTGGAAGAGGGATCCCTCCACAGTTGCTCTTCCTGAGGTTTCTACCGTTTTTTTCCCCGTTAAAGGGTTTTTTGGGGAGTTTTTCCTGATCAGCTGTGAGGGTCATAAGGACAGAGGGATGTCGTATGCTGTAAAGCCCTGTGAGGCAAATTGTGATTTGTGATATTGGGCTTTATAAATAAAATTCATTGATTGATTGATTGATTGATTGAAGGTGCCCGGTGTATTATAGGGGGGTCCTCCGGCAGATACATATACAGATTCATATGAGGAATTTAAACCATAAGTTTCAGGAAATTTCATAAGTGACGAGTTATACTCTAACTCCCGGCAAAGTATGTGGTAAGTGACCGGGAGGAGTTATACCCTAACTCCCGGGGAAGTACATGTAAAAAGTGGGCGAGAGGTACACTCTGAAACGTGGGCTGTCTTATGAAGTGTTACCCACTTCCCCTTAATCAGGCGTGCCCTCCGCAGCTGCGAGTGTAACTTGATTTGGAGTGACACTCGGTACTGAAGTGGTAGTGGGTAGGGAGTGGTTTGGGATTGGGCCTAAGTTTCCTGGCTCTTATTTTGGCGCCGTGTCACTGACTACCTGTGTCGCCATAGCTATCATCCTGTTCGGAGAGCCAATCAGATGGGAGACCAACCTGCAGCTGCTGATCGACGTGCTGCTGACCAATGGAAGACCAGGCTGCATGTATGAAGCTCAGGTGCCATCCCAGCTGCCGGTGCTCGCCTGTAACATGGACCTGATGTGGATGGCCGAGGCGCCATCACCACGGTAACCAACACGTCGCAGGAAGTCGGTTCAAATCTCAAGGCAGGATGATGAGGTTTGACCCCTGACCTGTGCTGCCGTAGGTTTGGTCACGGGATGTTCCTGCTGTGTCTGGAGTCAGCCTACAGGAAGCTGACGGGCCATGAGCTGCAGTACAAGGCGCTGCTTGGAAAACCCGCCCTGCTGACATACCAGTACGCCGCTCGTCTGCTGAGACTGCAGAACCACCACCACCAGCTGACCACCATCTACGCCATTGGGTAACTGCACCACCCAAAACACCACCCACACCATCTACACCATCGGGTAACTGCACCATCCAAAACACCACCCACACCATCTACGCCATCGGGTAACTGCACCACCCAAAACACCACCCACACATCTATGCCATCAAGTAACTGCACCGCCCAAAACACCACCCACACCATCTACGCCATCGGGTAACTGCACCGCCCAAAACACCACCCGCATCATCTACGCCATCGGGTAACTGCACCGCCCAAAACACCACCCGCACCATCTACGCCATCGAGTAACTGCACTGCCCGAAACACCATCTACACCATCTACGCCATCGGGTAACTGCACCACCCAAAACACCACCCACACCATCTACGCCATCGAGTAACTGCACTGCCCGAAACACCACTTACACCATCTACGCCATCGGGTAACTGCACCGCCCAAAACACCACCCACATCATCTATGCCATCGGGTAACTGCACCACCCAAAACACCACCCGCACCATCTACGCCATCAAGTAACTGCACTGCCCGAAACACCACCTACACCATCTATGCCATCGGGCAACTACACCGCCCGAAACGGCACCTACACCATCTATGCCATCGGGTAACTACACCACCCGAAACGGCACCTACACCATCTACGCCATCGGGTAACTACACCACCCGAAACGGCACCTACACCATCTACGCCATCGAGTAACTGTAAAACCCGCAACACCACCTACACCATCTACGCCATTGAGTAACTGCACCGTCCGAAACATCACCTACACCATTTACACCATCAGGTAACCATGGGTAACACAGCCTCACTGTTTCGAGGTGTTCGGAGGTCATCGCTGTTGGTTTGTGTTGAGGTGAACAGATTTCTGACACATCTGACCTCTGACACCCCCTGACCTCTGACACACCTGACCTCTGACACCCCCTGACCTCTGACACCCCCTGACCTCTGACACGCCTGACACAGAACACTAAGGAGGAAAATGTAACCAAACGGTCCTCTTTTTGCCTAGCGACAACCTGATGACAGATATCTACGGTGCTAACCTGTTCAACCGCTACCTGGCTCAGCAGCATGCTGCTATGACAACTACCACCAAGCTTGTTGCCAAGGGAATGGGGAGTCAGGTGGCAATGGTGATGGCGGAGGAGGAGGTGGCGTGTCCAGCTGCTCAGTGTCGAACCATTCTGGTACGTTTAATGTCGACCTTCCTGTCAGACGGCAACTAGTGATGGAGAGCTGACGCCGTTGTGGTCGACTGCTCCTCCATCACTTTGTTTACCTCTGTACCCACAAAGTTAGTATTCGAGATCTGGGTATGTGGTGACATCACAGTGACACCACTAAAACACAATTTGATGTTCGCATTGACCATCTGATAACCACATGTCTCTTCCTGTTCACAGGTGTGTACAGGTGTCTATAACCCTCACTCTCCGTTACCTAGCGTCACAGAGACGATCTTCCACGGTCACAGAGATCTAGTGCTGGAGCCTGACCTGGTGGAGCCGCATCACATCGTGGAGGACGTGGAGGCTGCCGTCGACCTGCTGCTGCAGCAGGAGAACTCTCCTACCTGACCTCTTACACCACATGACACCACCTGACCTCTGACACACCTGACACCTCTGACCTCTGACACACCTGACACCTCTGACCTCTGACACCACCTGACCTCTGACACCTCTGACACCACCTGACACCTCTGACACCACCTGACCTCTGACACACCTGACACCTCTGACACACCTGACACCTCTGACCTCTGACACCACCTGACCTCTTACACCTCTGACACACCTGACATCTCTGACCTCTGACGCCACCTGACCTCTGACACACCTGACACCTCTGACACCACTTGACCTCTTACACCTCTGACACCACCTGACCTCTGACACACCTGACACCCCTGACCTCTGACACACCTAACCTCTGACACCACTTGACCTCTGACACCACTTGACCTCGGACACCTCTGACACCACTTGACCTCTGACACCACTTGACCTCGGACACATCTGACACCACTTGACCTCTGACACCACTTGACCTCGGACACCTCTGACACCACTTGACCTCGGACACCTCTGACACCACTTGACCTCTGACACCACTTGACCTTGGACACCTCTGACACACCTAACCTTGGACTTTAACCCTTTAACATTGAATAATCTTTATTGGTCTAACTTCTGTTTAATATGATTCTTTACTGAAATAAAAAACTTCATGTGAAAAGAAATTATGCTTCAATTCATCATCCTCAGTGTTCAGAGGAGTTACAGATAGATGACAGACGGATTGGACGGACAGACAGACAGATAGATGACAGATGGATGGACAGATACAGAGTAACAGAATCAGAAATACTTTTTTAACATTAACATTAATTTTTATTAACAGCACCACCTTGTGGTTGGAGACATGTTGAAATGACAGAACAGAAAATAAAAACATGTTTTATTTTACATATGAACAGTTGTATTTTACATTTTAGTGTTCAGTTCACATTTTCACTTTTTTTCATTTGTAAATTCAAATTTGTAATTTATTTTATTAGTGATTATTTTACTGTTGGATCCATGAACGTAGGGAACGTGTTTCATATCAGTGTTTAAAAACGTCTCCACCTCCGTCACCTCATCACAACAGTCTCATCTGTTTGGTCTCATTTATTTATTTATTTATTGTGATTGTTAGGAGATTTGATCTGACCAATCAGAGCATCCTCTGGATCAAAAGATGATGATGATGATGAAGGAGAGCTTTTATCAGTAACATGTCTGAACAGTTGAACATTTTATAAAATAATATTTGTTGACTGCAATGACTGTAAATGTTAAAAACAAAGTCTAATCAGATGCTCCAGAGCTTTCAACCATGTCACATGATCGTCTTCAACAAACTGAAGGTGTAGTGACACTGGACAGACACAGGAGGAGCTACAGCTGCTGTCTCTGCAGACCGGAGACGCCACAAAACAGAAGGAGACGATTAACCACATCTATGAAATGGAGACGATAAAACACGGTTTCAGAAATGAAGTTGAACTTTCTGATCAGAGATGGAAACAGGTGTCAAACAAAAATAAAAAGGCAGAGGGATAATCAGAGAAGTGAGACCTCAAGACAGAGGACACAAACAAACATTTTACTACAACTCTGATTTCTGTTCTGACAAGTAAAGAACTGTCCCTCAGTGTAAATAAAGAATGACTGGATGATGGTAAATACGCTCCCATTCTAGTGAATAGCTTCATTTCCACAGTGAGCGGTGCGCAGTGCATTGTTCCCACTTCAGGGCTAAAGCCCTGGATGTTTTCAACTCCTAGCGACGCCCCTGTTTAAAACTAACATCCAGGTCTGTGAGATATTTAACTGACACAGTGATTCAGGAGGAAGAGGAGGAGGCGTTAACGTCCAGTCAGCCTCTTGACCTGCCCAACATGGCGGCTTGAAGGGGACGCCTCCAAACAGGAAGCTGGCAGCAGCTGCGCCTGCGCAGTGGCTAACTCCGGGTCCCTGTAAAGATGTCTGAGCAGGCGGGGAGGGAGCGGAGCGGAGGACCCGAAACAAACGGACAGAACCCGTGACTCTCCGCAGCTTTACCGACCAAGGTAAGGGCAGGTGGCCCCGCACAGCCGCTCCGACGGCACCGAAATGCCGCGGAAGGTTTCGGCCTTCAGACGAGCCGGACCAGCGGCACGCACGGCGGTGGGGCTCGTAGGAAAGAGCAGGAATATTGTGCAGGACGCGCAGCGCTGTGGCAGGGGCGTGTCCGCCATCTTGTCTGAGAAGTGGCGCCTAAACAGCAGCTGTCGCTCCGAGCGGACACCGAGCGGGAAGCGTGAAATGGCCGTTAATGGCGGGACTGTTCTCCCCCGTGTGTGTGTGAACGACTTTGACTCGGTTCGGTCCCGCTGTGAACTGGCACTGAGAGCCGCTGTGTCCGTGTGTCGAGCCCGGGCTCCGGAGGAGCAGCTGCAGCTTTGTGTTGTCCTCCTCCTCCTCTCCCCTCCCCCTCCTCTTCTCCTCCTCCGTGTTTGTTTGGAAAACCTGCCAGGCGCATGCGTCAAACCACGGCGCTCGTTTCTGCGTATGAGAAAGAAAACATCGGGATTTATGTCAGTAATTAATTTATGCAGCGCGTATACCCAGTGTTTATCAATCAGTTTGATGAGCTTATTACGGAAGGTCCGTGACGAACAGCTCCGTGTTCATATCAGTCTGTCACCGTCTGTTACTACATTTAGATATACAGTCACACACCGTCTGTTACTACAGTCAGATATACAGTCACACACCGACTGTTACTACAGTCAGATATACAGTCACACACCGTCTGTTACTACATTTAGATATACAGTCACACACCATCTGTTACTACATTTAGATATACAGTACAGGCCAAAAGTTTGGACACACCTTCTCATTCAATGCGTTTTCTTTATTTTCATGACTATTTACATTGTAGATTCTCACTGAAGGCATCAAAACTATGAATGAACACATGTGGAGTTATGTACTTAACAAAAAAAGGTGAAATAACTGAAAACATGTTTTATATTCTAGTTTCTTCAAAATAGCCACCCTTTGCTCTGATTACTGCTTTGCACACTCTTGGCATTCTCTCCATGAGCTTCAAGAGGTAGTCACCTGAAATGGTTT